AAAAGTGACTTGCGACTGTTTTTCATGCTTAAAGATTGCTGCACTATCGATCCTTTGGTCACATGATCAAAATTCAGATACTTGGCAGCTGACTCTTATTTATGATGGTTGCAGTGTCCCAGATCCCTTTTTGAGACCTGTCAAGGGACAAGCCAGATTCACTTAACAACTGTGTTACTAACTTAACAACTACAGCAATAAAGGTTGTAAAATGGGTCAAAATGCACTTAACAACCATCTCGCTTAGCAACAGAAACTTGGGGCTCAATTGTGGTCATATGCTAAGGACTACTTGTAAAAAAGCAGTCCTCAACTTATAACCAGAAATGGGACCAGAATTTTTATTGCTGGGTGAGTCACGCTTGATGTACAACCTTTTTGCCACAGGGGTCAAATGAATCACTGCAGTGAAGTGGATTATGCAGTTGTTAAGCGAATCCTGCTTGATTTTGCTTGTTGAAACCCAGTTGGAAAGGCCATAAATGGTGATCACATGATCCTGGTACACTGCAGAAATTGTGAATATGTATTGGTTTCCACATGCCTGAATGTTGATCATGTGACCATGGGGATGTTGCGATGCATGTAAGGACTGGTTGTAAGTCACTTTTTTCAGTGCTGCTTTAACTTTGCACAGTGACTAAAGAAATGACTGTAAGTTGAGAATTACCTCTATGGGACATTTCTCCCAAGGTTTCCTAATGTTTCATGTGCTTCTGTTTATTTTGTCCTTTTCCTTGCAGCCTTGCTATGAGAAGGTGAAACGTTGGCTAGCAGAGAACATCTTTGCAATGGGCATTTTTGCTGCCTGTATCATTGTTGTCCAGGTGAGATGATCAGAGCACTAGAAGTAGATGGAGTAACTTAGACCGGTGTTTTTCTCAATCTTGGGAAGTTTAAGGTTTATATGGACTTCAACTCCAGAATTCCTCAGCCAGCCTGCTGGCTAGGGAAATCTGGGAGTTGGAGTCCACACATCTTAAACTTGCTATGGTTAAGAAACACTCCTAGATATCTAGCAAGATTTCCTTCCAAGATCTCTATGCTCACCACGTAGAATAGGTGCGGGGAACGATGACCCTTTTATGACTTATGAGCCAGCAGTGTGCAGCTGCCGCCAAAAAAAGCTAATATAATCTTTGGTTGTATGAACAGAGACATAGAGTCAAAAACATGTGAAGTATTGGTACCATTTTATAAAGCCTTAGAAAGGCCACACCTGGAATATTGCACCCAGTTTTGATCACCACATTATAAAAAAGATACCGAGACTTTGGAAAAAGGGCAAAAAAGAAAGAGCAACTAAGATGATTAAAGCCTGGAGACTAAAATATATGAAGAACGGTTGGAGGGTTTGGCTAGTCTAGTAGACAAGAAGTACTAAGGGGGATATGATAGCAGTACTCCAGTATTTGAGAGGCTGCCACAAAGAGGAGTGGGGGGGAGTAAACTTATTTTTCAAGGCACTAGAGGGCAGGACAAGAAACAATGAATGGGAATCTAGTCAAGGAGAGAAAAACCTGGAATTAAGGAGAAACTTCTAACAATGAGAACAATTAACCAATGGAACACCTTCAGAAGTTGTAGGTGCTTCATCACTGGAGGTTTTTAAGAAGAGACTGGACAGTAGCTGATTTGAAATGGCATAGGGTCTTCTGCTAGAACAGGGGGATGTACTAGAAGACCTTAAAGGTCCCTTCCAACTAATTGGTTGATTTGAATTCCTGAGCCAGCCATGCTGGCTCAGGAATTTTGGGAGTTGAAGTACACAAATCATAAAAGGGCCCACCACTGACATAGAACAAGAGAATCCTAACCTCTTAGGAAGGTGTTTCCCCACCCCCCCGACTTTCTCAAAATTACACCTGCAAATCTGAGTGCACAATTTTCAGTTGAATGAGGAACAAGCAGAAATGGTCTTGCAGTCCTTGGACTTAATGTACTATATATTTTTTTGCTTAATCCTCTTCAGCCTAAAATGGACATTTAAATCTTTGCCTGCTCGGGGGATACCATGCATCACCTCAATGTCCCCTGCTGCGCTTGGATGATAGAAATGTGTACAATAAAATGTGCTTCTTTCTTTTAAAAACCGGAGCTACCTATCACGAGAAAAAGAGCAAAGACCAGGTAGAAGAAAAGCCATTTACAGCTCATTAAGGTTATAAAGGTTCCACAAAGACACCATCATATTTAGATCATAATATAATAGGAAAGGTGTGCAAGACAGCAATGAGATTAGAAGAGCAGTTTGTAAATTAAATATAAAAATAATGCAAAGGATTTTCGGCCAGTTGTTAAAAACCAGAACCAGTGACTGGTTCCAAGATTTCATCAAGCATACATCATAGTATTTATCTGGGTTTTAACACATCTAAACTGCAAAACTTTCAACAGCCACTGGATGGCAGGAAAGAAGTAAATTTTCAGCATTTCTCTGCCGAAATCTGTCGTTTTCATAATCTTTATAATGCAGTAGTCATAGCCTAGCTGCATATCTGATAGATTAGAAGGAAGATAATAGAACTGGGCTTAAAACTTTCTAAATGTGACCAACCCAGAGAAAATATTTAGCTCACTAAGATTTGTTAGGCTTCCATTCAGTCTTTTCCTTCAGGAAATCAATGCAACATATATAGTGTCCCTTCATGCCTTTTTATTTCCACGAGCACTGCTGGCGGACGAGTGGCCCAAAACTGCCAGGGAATTTCCTTGGCTGAGGTGAATTTGAACCTGAGTCTCCCCTAGTGTCAGTTTAGATCCAGCACCATGGCTGTTATACCTCCAGCCAGATCCCTGTAATTTATTTTCCATGTGGAGAGTGCAAGGCTGAAGAAAATTGTGTTACTAGGATAACATGTAATACTTGTTCTTGCACTACTCAAAATTCCACAAAGGCAGCAAGATGGCTGGTAGAAAAGATGAGAAGGGGCCTCCTTTCTCTATTCACTTTTTAGATAAACTGAGTTTGAAAAAAGAGAGGGAGAATAACAATAGTAGGTTTCAAAGTGGTTTACCACCGGTTCGATGGGTGTGGCTCTGTGGGTGTGCTTTGCGTGCATGCGCACACTTTGCGTGTGCCAGCCAAATGCACACTTTGTGCACACGCAATCCTTGTCACTTCAACAGCTGACGCAACGCAATCTGCTGTGCCGCGCAAAGCAACTGCACTTCAAAAGCAGGGAATAAAAGTCAATATGGGATTCCAGGCGGGCAGGTGGGCCCAACAGCAGCTCGTCAGAGAGAATCGGTTCAGTATCAACTGATCTTTGGTGCTACCAGTATGCCAGAACTGGGCCGAACCGGTAGAATAGCACTAGTGGAGGAAAGTATAGCTTCTGCACCCCTCCTTTGCTGGTCAAAACTGAAGATGAAGTACTATAAGTCATATGGGGCTAAGCTTAGAACGGTATTTCTCAATCTTGGCAAATTTAAAATATGTGGACTTCAACTCCCAGAATTCCTCAGCCATCACGGGGATTGGGGAATTCTGGGACTCCACACATTTTGAAATAGCTAAGAATGAGAAGCACAAGCTTAGAATATGATTGGTTAGTTTCTACATGTTCAAGCAGTGGGATGACTTCAAGGCCCAAGCCAAGAGCTGGCAGTACCTGCTTGTGTTTTGGAGCAGACAAGGAACAGGAATTTCCAAGGGCACAGTATTGATAAGCTGGGCTAGGGCCTTTGTTCTTTTTCTGAGTAAATCTTTCTCTATTCCTTTAGGTCTTGGGCATCGTGTTCTCCATGCTGATGTACTGCCAAGTTCGGAGGGTAGAGAAATATTACGACTGACTCCATCCAAGTCCATTCTTTGTCCTTTCAAACTTGGGAACATGAGATGCAGATGGATCGAGCACTTTAGCTCGAGGTTTTTTTTTGCATTGGTCTCTTCCCACATCTTCAGTTTCTCTTCTTTAGGCAAAAGGCAGTTCTGACGCTTGGTAGGTTCATACCGTGCATGCAAGAGGGGCCTTCTCTTCCCAGAATAACCAGTTCTCCTGAAGAACTTCATGTTTCTGTTGTTCATAAGTTTAACTCTCAAGCAAACCTCTTTACATCTTGACTTCTCCCTATATTTCATAATGTAGTCCCTCCAATCTCCTGCTTTGTATATAACGAAAATATATCAAGCACCAATAAAATAGTATTTATCTTTTAGAATCTGCATTTGGTACCTGTTATTTCTGTTTTTTATGATTTAATCACACCTATAACTGAATTTTAAAAAGTCTGGGATGTTGAATAAATAAAACTTGAATTTGGAAGGTAGGAACTTAGAATTATTCATATCCCATTATCATTTTTCTTGACAAAAGTACAAATGAACTTAATGGCAAAGCAATGTTACCATTGAAGATTTTTAAAATATGGGAAAAGTGGCAGTATTTCATTGAACAAAATTCCTGTTGCAGTGTTTTCCAAGGTAGGCAGTTATAAGTCACCCTCTTGTCGTTTCATATTATGGGTAGTCCTCAAATTATGATCACAATTGAACCCAAAATTTCTGTTGCTAAGCAAGAGAGTTAAGTGATTTTTGCCCCATTTAAAGACCTTTCTTATCACAGTTTTTAAGTGAATCACTGCAGCTGTTAAGTTAGTAACACAGTTGTTAAATGAGTCTGGCTTCCCAATTGACTTTCCTTGTCAGAAGGTCACAAAAAGTGATCACACGGCCCCGGGAACACTGCAACCATCATGAGTCAGTTGTCAAGCATTTGAATTTTGATCACGTGACCATGGGGATGCTGAAACGGTCGTAAGTGTGAAAAATGATCGTAAGTCACTTTAGTGCTGTTGTAACTGAACGGTCATTAAATGAACTATTGTAAGCCGAGCAATACATTACTTGGAGTGCAATTTCAGTGCTTTAACTTTCTGGAAACATCTCTGTGTTTTTTTCTATTTCAATTATCTTTCTCCAATGTGTGCTTCAGAAATCCAGGCAAGACAGCTGATTTCTACCCTAAAAACTCAAAAAAGGACAACACAGCAAAAGGAGCTGGTAAAGACAACTTTTTATTATTATTGGCTTATAGGCTGGCAGGAAGGAGATAAAAACATCCTCTCTCTCTTCCAATTCACCAGTCATCTTTGGACAAAAATAGAGGGTCTGAGCCAGAAACGGCTCTTGAAAATCTGATACAAAAGTAGGGTGAGTGGTTGTGGGATCAGTCCGAGGCTCTACACAGCCCCTAGACCCTCTTTCACATCTCACCTGCCACAAGGGCACATTTGCACCAACCTCCCTAAAAGTAAAAAGGGCCCTGAAATTCTACTCCTGGAAATGGGGAGATTTATACATGTGGGAGAAAAGAAAACGAACAGCAGAATGGCATAGAACCCAAGCCCAGTTTGTGTGCAAAGGATTTTTTAAGACACTTAACTGGGGAGGAAAAAAAAGGGAGATGAAGATTGATTGGTGGTGGTAGTAGTGGCAGAGGCAGAGGCAGGGCATGATGGTAGAGCTATTTTTGTCAGGGTGTCTCTAGTGTTTCTGTCTTTGTGTGAGTCTGTTTTGTCAGGGTATGTCAGAAGCCCCTCTCAGAAGGGCTGCTCTAGCTAAGGCAGTGTTTTTCAACTGTGGAAAATTTAAGGTGTGTGGACTTCAGCCCCCAGATTTACCCAGTCAGCTGTGCCCATCTGTAGTGTGAAACTGAGGTTGCCCATTTTAAATTAAAGCTTGTGGAAGCAAAGGCCGGAGGACGGGAGGACAGAATTTGAACAGTATGGCTTGAGAGGAGCTCTGAACCCTGTCTACCGATTTTTGGTAGTGGAGGAAAATGGTGCCGAGACAGCAGGACCAACAGCCAGATCTATTAATATTTCCGATGCAGCTTCTGGAAGTCACTCGTATTCAGGCGTGGCCGAGGCAGGTCTCCAAACATCTCGGTGCCATCTGAAACCCGCAGCACCAGAGCTCTCATGCTGGCGGCAATCTTCTCGAGATCAGGAGACGAATGCTGCGGAGAGAGAAAAGGGACAACTGGTTTGCTTTTTCTCCCGCCATCTCCAAACTTCTTCGACTCCCCCTCTTGTTCCTGCTGTCACTGATCATGGGAAATCATGAGAAACCCACTATGAATCTGACTTCTCTTTCACCATTACGGGGAGCCCACGACTTACAACAGTTCATTTAGTGACCGTTCAAAGTTCCAATGGGACGTGGAACCATTTTTCACACTTATCACCGTTGCAGCATCCCCCATGGTCACATGGTCAAAATTCAGATACTTGGCGACTAACTCATATTTAAGACGGTTGAGTGTTTCCAGGATAAACCTTTTGCGACTGTGGGAAGTTACAACCGCATAGAAAAAAGTGACTTATGACTGGTTTTCACACTTATGATGATTGCAGCACCCCAAAGTCACATGAACAAAATTTGGTTGCTAGACAACAGGCATGTATATTTAAGATAGGTGTGTGTGTGTGATCTGATTGCCAGCTGTCACCTCAGCTGTCTGGGGAAAGTTTGAATTGTTTTAACAACTGTGTGATTCACTTAACAACTGCCGTGATTTGCGTAACTATGGCAAAAATAGTTGTGAAATTGGATGTGAGTTATTGCCTTGCTTAGCGATGGGAATTCTGGTCTTAAATGTGATCATAAGTCATGGACTGCCTATATGCCATTTTCCATTACCTGCTTGGAAGGATGAAAGCTTTAACGTGTTTCAGGAACTGCAGGCCACTTCTAATTTATCTCCAGAAACTGCTTTGAAGCCCTTTTTGTAAACTCTTTTCTTCCGAAGTGTTTATCTAACTGTAAGATTTCCCTTTTCGTCATTATACCTGTCTAAGTTTACCCATCATTTATGGGTAAACGATGTAGGGATCAGTTGAGAAAGAACAAATAAAGCCAAAAGTCTCAACTGAACTAGACACAATTAAATGGCCAAGACAGTAGAGAAAGAGCCAGCCCTTAGATCAGCGTTTCTTCCAAACTGAAGAAGAATGGACTTCAACTCCCAGAATTCTTAGAAATGGCTATGCTAGCTGTGAAATTCTTAGACTCCTTCTTAGAATAACAGAGTTGGAAGAGACCTTGGAGGACTTCTAGCCCAACCCTCTGCTTAGGCAGGAACTCCCACACCACTTCAGACAAATGGTTATACAACATCTTCTTAAAAACGTCCAGTGTTGGAGCATCCACAGCTTCTGGAGGCAGGTTGTTCCACTGATTAATTGTTCTAACACTCAGGAAATTTCTCCTTAGTTCTAGGTTGCTTCTCTCCCTGATTAGTTTCCACCCATTGCTTCTTGTGCTTTGGAGAATAACTTGACATATGGATATTAACTTCAAATTCCATATGCCTGAAAACTGCCAAGATTGGGAAGTTTTGCATTAGGCTGTTGCGTTGCTATGCATTTGCTATTCTAAACTACAAATGACTGAAAAATAAGAGAGTTTGATGGAGCCCAATGCTCTGCTCAGTCCAGGAACCCAAGTTAAAGCATGGCTGACAAAATTGCTTCCTGGCTTTTCTTTAAACTTTATCTAGTTCAGGGATCCCACAACCTCTTTGGGTATTGGCTTGAACTGTTTTTACTGTTAGAAATCGTCTTCTACACAATTCAGTCTGACTGTTTTGATCTGCCTTCCTGTAACTTGAGAGCATTTTCCTGCGTTGCATCCTTTGGGAGATGAAGAACAGATTTTTAACCTTTTTTTCTGTAAGGCATTCTTTCGGGTTCTAGCACAAATATACAATGTTCCCCCAGTTTTTCTCCAAAGATGTAATTCAGTCCCTGAGCAACTTCCTTTGATATGTTGCAAATTCCTAGTCTTCCTTAAAACGTGGCACCCAGAACTGCTAAATATACTGACGATTTTTAAACACAAGACTGCATCAAAATCGTACAATTTTTCACTTTTTAAAAAAAAGGGAATTTGTACCCCCCAAAAGAGCATAACATGTATTTTTTCAGGATCACAATCTCTTCCAAAAAATGAGGGAAATCCCTTCTGATGGCATCGCCGCCATCTCTTCTCATGCTGAAAAGACCAGCAGGGAAGTCGAGTCTCTGGTTGGGAAAATGATGCTTAAAAACGGTTAGAGTTTAATTCAGGCTCCACCCAATTTGTTCTCTACTTTCTGTCTGCAGACCGAGAGAGGCTCAGCCACAACAATCTCCCCCTCAAAGGATTTTATTACAGGTAGTCCTTGACTTATGACCACAATTGGGACCAGAATTTCCACCGCTAAGCAAAGCGATGGTGAAATGAATTGTGCCTGATTTATGACCTCCCCCCCCCACCCCCACCACAGTTGTCAAGCAAATCTCTTCAGTTAAGTGAAACATGTGGTTGTTAAATAAATCCAGCTTTCTTCACTGATTTTTATTTGTTGGAAGCTGGCTGGGAAAGTGGTAAGTGGTGATCATATGACCCTGGGACACTGCAATTGTTGTAAATAAATGCCGGTTTGACAGAATTTGGATCACTAACCATGGGAATGCTGGGGAGATTATAAGTGCGAGGACCAGCTGTAAGTCCTATTTTTCAGTGCCGCTGTAGCTCTGAACATTTGCTAAATGAATGGCTATAACTCGAGGACCACCTGCACTTTGTCAGGAAGGCTCCAATGACAGCCAAGGAAAAGGAAAGGGCCCCGATAGCTCCCCCCCCCCGAGGATGGCCCCTCAAATTGGACATCCTTACTTTGACCCACCTTACTGTTCTCTTCGTCAGAGGATCGTATCTCTTGGCGTTGTTCTTTAAAGCCCCAGATGGGTACGGAGACAGGGAGGGATTTGGCATACTGATGGCTTGGGGGCGGAGGAGCTGTCTGTCCTGGAGCCTCCTCACTCAGACTCCCATCTGAGAAAAAGTGGGGATTTTTGGGGGGGGGGGGGGGGGGGGGAGGGGGGAAAAGCTTAGACCAACTGAGCAACATTTGAAAACAGCGAGCTGTGAGCATCCAAAGCCTGATCAAAAGCAGGATTGGCCTGGTTTAGATTAATCCCTTTCATTTTGTTGAATTACAACTTCCAGAATCATTAATCTTTGGCCACATTTGGATGAGACTACTGGGAGTTGCAATTCAACAATATTTAGAGCAGAGGTAGACAACCTCTTAAGGCAAAGGCACATCTGGAATTTTGACAGCATGTGGCAGATGTACTTTCACAACCAGAAACACTCATTTACAAAACACTCATTTACTAGGATGTTCTCTATCATGCCTTGATAAGCTCAAGGGGGATTCCTGCAAATAGATAACAAAGCAGCAGGCATTGTTGTGCAGCATGTTGTCTTCCTTTTTTCTTATGACAAGCCTCTTTCAAAAAGTGGGTAGCAATGGAAGGGTCTAGCAACACACCCGTGACAAGCTTCCTCAGATACCCCACCTCTCTCAACTTTATTCAAAAGAATTTCCAAGTGTGTACAAGAATTTTTGGCATAGATTATATCTTCTTGAGGATATTTTTTTATCAAATAATATTTGAAATGCTCATGTTTAGACCTGGCCAAGGCTACTCTCAATCAGCACTTCTCCATATTCTGTTTCCTGAAAATCCCAGGAAGCCAGAGATTGATTCCTCAGTAGTGCAACTTTTAATCTATAATTTAAAACTTCCTCTCACCCTGCAAGTGTCAATTCCAAAGAGAATATGGAAGATCTTGAAAAGACAAATGAAATGAAGCAATTCTTGGGGTTTCAAATACCACTCCAGTCAATTAATGAAGTTTCCATTTATGGCAGCCACCCTTAATCTGGCATCTTCCAATCATATTGCAACTACAGTTCCCAGAATTCCCAGCTTGTATGGCCAAAGATAGGAAAACCTGATTGATGGTTTGAATACTGTTAAATTGGAGATGGCTGTCATAACGAATTCAAGCTTCTAGCTTTTGAAAACTAAAAATGAAAAGTCAAGTGATAATATGCAGTATATACAAAAGTGTCAAATGTATAAACAGCAAGAAGTTATAACCTGTAATATACAAATTGTGGAGAGTGACAATATAAAGAAAAAGTTGAGGACAAGCTTTTCCAACAAAGTAAATTGGATCCACTTAACTATGCCTAGCAGTCTCATTAAAGACTAATTAGACCAAGCAATTAAGGGAGCCAACTGGGTAGAGGAGACAAAACTACACTTATTAGGTGAATCTTTACTTAATTATCCTTCATATTTATATCCTTTCTCCAAGGAACAGACAAAGGAGTTCCCCCTTTCTTTCTCTTCTCTCAACAAATTTGCAAAGTATACCAGACTAGCCAAAGTCATTCAATGAATGGCTTCTTTTTTTTAACCCTCTTGGCCACTAAAACTATGCTTGCTACAGCACAGGTAGTTGCAGGCTCCAATTGGGGTCAGTCAACCAAAGAATCAAACGTTTTGTCTTCAGAGCTTCTGAACTCGTGCTGGAGCCCATCTTCAGGGAACTTCTCCCTACCAGAATGTGTGTTGTTTTGTGTGTGGTAAATATAATGCTTGTTATAAGTGGTTTTTTAGATGTTGATTGGGGTGTGTTGTTGGCTGGCTTTTAAGTCATTAGCTGTTGTTTACTTGTGCTGCCCAGCCCTCGCCTTCTAAGTACTTGATAGGCTGGTGGTAAATCAACACTCCTGTTGACAGACAAGAGGCCTGTTTCCCAGGCTTCAATCACTTCCCGGCTGTTTTTGTGCCTGTTTGTCCAACAATCTTAGTGGCTGCAAAATTGAAAGTGTCTCCTTGTTCATGGCAATGTGAGGCTTCCAATGAGTTTGGGTCTCCTTGTCTGACTGCTTGCTTGTACTCTTGTAATCTGGTGATTAGCTCCCTCCCAGTTTGTCCTACATAGTCAGAGGGGCAATCCATGCAGAGGATTTGGTAGATTACATTGGAAGTATCACCCACGTCAAAGCAATCATTGGTCTTTTATCTTGTCCATGGTAGGGAGAGAAACGAAGAAAAAAAAAGTACAAGACCAAACACATGGCGTATCTTGCCACACATTAAAAACATTTAGGAAGCTGTAGAATGCAGCTTCTGAGAGCTGCAAGTGGGAATCACACACTGCCCAGAGGTTACCCTATGAGGACAAATTATGCATTGTAAAGATCGCTCGGAGGTGGGAGATACTTCCAATGTAATCTACAAAATCCCACGCATGTATTGCCCCTCTGACTATGTAGGACAGACTCGGGGGAAGCTAATCACCAGACTGCAAAAACATAAGCGAGCCGTTGGACAAGGAGACCCGAACTCACTGGCATCCTTACACTGCCATGAACAAGGAAACACATTCAACTTTGCAGTTACTAAAATTGTTGGATGAGCAGGAACAAAAACAGCCAGGGAAGGGATTGAAGCCTGGAAAACAGGCCCCTTGTCAGTAAATAGGAGTGTTCATTGACCATCAGCCTATCAAATACTGGTGGTATGAGCTACAATAGTACAGTGGTTAGAGTGCAGTACTGCAGACTACTTCTGCTGATTGCCAGATGCCTGCAATTTGGCAATTCAAATCTCATCAGGCTCAAGGTTGACTCAGCCTTCCAAGGTGGGTAAAATGAGGATCCAATTTGTTGTGGGCAATATCTGACTCTGTAACCACTTAAGAGAGGGCTGTAAAGCATTGTAAAGTTTTATATAAGTGCTATTGCTACTGCTACTTAGAAGGCGAGAGCTGAGCAGCACAAACAAATGAAGGCTAATGACTTAAAAGCCAGCCTTTAAACGCACATAAAAAGCCACTTTCAACAGGCACTATTAATACCACACATAGAAGAACACACACTCTGCTAGAGAGATATTCTCTGAAGATGGGCTCCAGCATGAATCCAAAAGCTCGGAAGACAAAACCTTTGATCCTGGTGACCGGCCCAGATTGGATCCTGCAACATTACCCTGGGACACATATATTTGCTTTAATTTGTGAGTACAGATAGTTCTCTATTTACAATTCATTTACTGTTTGTTCAAAGTTACAATGACACTGAAAAAAATGACTTACGACTGTTTTCATATTTATGACCATTGCAGCCTTCATGGTCACGTGATCAAAATTCAGGCACTTGGCAAATGACTCATACTTATGACAGTTGCAGTATCCTGGGATTATGGGATCACCTTTTGTGACCTTCTTACAAGCAAAGTAAAGCCAGATTCACTTAACAACTGCAGTGATTCACTTAATAACTGTGGTAAGAAAGGTCATAAAATGGGACCTTCCGGTTTGAGCTTCTTTGGCGACAGACTGAAACCTCGTCTCTCCGAGGCTTCGATCCGTGCTCACCGCTGGAGCGCCCCGAGTTGGCTGGTTTTGGGGCTAAGACACCGCATAGAGGTGGCGAAGAGGCGGGAGACTGCCTGCAGGGTTGAAGAGAGCTGCATCTCTCCTCCCCAATTGGCCATTACTCCCTTTCCCGAAGGCGGTTGTAGCGGTGGTTAGAAATGGCCACCACAAAGAAGAACTCGACCGGAAAAGAATGTGCAGGAGGAAGATAAGAAGAGAAAATTTTGGTTGACCGGGTCAAACAGCAAAAGCAACAAATAAGGTACCCTGGAATTTAAACTTAACAACATTGTTCCCAAAGAAGATTTTGAAGCTGCAAAGGAGAGAGAGAAGGGAAAGGATTAGGGTTTTTCTTCTTCCCTTATACTGATTGCTAAGAGACTTAAGCAAGAAATTGAAAAAAAATCCACTTTGACATTAATAGGTATCTAAGCTGAAAATAAAAGTCAAAGGGATAATAAAGATTTCTGGACATTTAAAAGTTTTTAAAAGCAGGAAAGGAGAAAAAAAAAGAATAAAATGGTAGGATCTGCAAAAATGGAGAAGACTGCCTGGAATTAAGGAATGGAATTGTAATTAAAAGGAACTTACAGTGAAATTTTAACAAGATTCCTCAGAGATACATTTTAATTGAAACTTGGTAACAAAATAATAGAACCCCAGGAAGAGAAAGTGGAAAAAAGAAGCAAGTAGAAACAGCCTTGGATTATTTGGTGATTTTTAGTTTTTGCATCTAGATAACTAAAATTAACCGGGTGGTTGTTTAAAAGTTTTAAAAATGGTATCACTCTTAGAAGAACTGAAAATGGAATTTAAAAAATGGAAAGAAGATGCACAGGAAGGGAGAAGTTCTTTTGGCTTCGTGTTTCATTTTTTAGAAATGGAGATCTGGAACTATGAGAAGCAACAAGAAACGCTTGCAGAACAGGAAGATTGGGACAAAGAAGAAGCCATCTTTAATGATCAAATAATTTTAAATGGGGGGAAAAAGAAAAGGGGGGAAAGAGAGTGAAAGGTTTAAGACTAGAAAAAACAACCTAAAGAAGAACAATTTGAAAGATAAGTGTAATATTAGAAAGCAACAGAAGAGGGGATTACAGATGAGAGAGTTAGAAGTAGAGAGACGAGGGAGTAAAAAGGGGAGGGAGAAGAAGAGGGGGAAGAAGGCAAGGAAAAGAAGTTGTAAAAAACAAACAAGAAATGGAGAAACAGAGAAAAGATATAAGGATTGTAACCATAAGCTTGTTTAGAGATAATGGGTGAAAATTTAATTGCAAAAGGGATTCTGCAAAGGTAAATAAGATAGCATTGTTATATTACAAATAGAAATAATTTTAGAAAATATGATGATGGATAAAATATTTACTGTAATGTAGTGGGATGTTTGTTAATAAATAAATGAATTAAAATGATTGAGAGAATTAAAAGGGAACATTTTTAATTATTAGTAATGATTTATAAAAATATAAGTGAGAAATATGGGAAAAAAAAGAATTAACTATGGAAAGTTTATAAATGTTCCCAAGGAAGTATGATATTTAATTGAAAAGAAATGTTAAAGATGTTAAGATTTTAATGCATATTAATGATAGAATTGAATTGGAATGGAATGTGCATTTTATTTACATATATATATATACATATATATTTCTTTTTAAGAATATAGTCTCTATTTTAAGAATGTACCCAGCAGAACTCGATTTGAAGTTATGTATTATATTGAATGCTATAATCTTAAAGGTATACATTGAAGCTTAAATAAGAGTTTGAATGGATAAAATTAAAGGATATAAAGGTGTCATACTCTAATTGGTAACTACAGGGAAAAATTTGTTTAATAAGAAAAGATAATGTGAAATTGAAACAGGACAGACAAAAGTATAAATATAATGATTTGAATTGAGATGAGATAATTAAAACAAAGTTGAGAAAATTAAAAGAGGGGAAAAACTATGTAGAAAATATAAAATGGTAATAAGATATGGAATAGAATATAAAAATGAGCATGAAATTGAGTCTTGTGTCTGTATGAAGAAGTGATAACCTGGGACCATGCTATTTTCAAAAAAGATGTTTTATTTGTATTTTGTTTTTGTGAAAACCCAAATAAAATCCCCCCCCACAAAAAAGGTCATAAAATTCACTTAACAATTGTCTCATTTAGCAACAGACATTTTGGGCTCAGTTGTGGTTGTAGGTCGAGGACTACCTGCAATTGAACATCACTGGGCTTGTCAAGAAGATCCTCAACAACGAAAGAGGATTTCATGGAAGAAGCTGAAACCAAAAATTCACAGGTGGTTTGGACTGATTCAGTAGACCTGGATCATTCTGAGAAGGGAGGATTACCTATTCCGCAGGCAGAACAGGGAAAAACGCAAAAGGATTAGCTGGGCTCAGTGTTTTCTCTCTTACAATGCTACTCCACTCACCGTCAGTGCTTTCCACATCAGAATCAAAAAAAGGCTCATAATCTTGGCTTGGAGAATCTTCGTCCATCACAAACAGACCTAGAAATTGATAGTTATCTTAAAATATAGAATGACAGTGGCTGCCCATACAAGATCCCTCATGACACACCCCGGTCCCTCAACATAAATGTTCATTATCATGTCAGGTGAATGGAACTACTGCCTTTCTCATAACATCATTTTTTTTAGAATTAAGCTTTTTGTATCCAAAAATAATACCATCACAGTTGGAAGATATCAACAAGTTTGTATGCATTCCAAGGTTTTCTAAAGAGAGCACAAGTAATGGTGTTGTGTGTGTGTGTTTTTGAAACAAAGGTCACTCCTGAGGGAAGGCAGGAATATGTCAAAATAGAGACACAGAGCACAGCTATTGTGTCCTACTCTTATGTCCTCCAGTTTACTTATAAACTTATTGTCATCCAGCACATCTGCAGGTCCTCCACTGCTGACGCTGCTAAGAGCATTCAGGCCAACTGACTAAGACTGAAATCTGGCTGCAGCCTGCAGGAAATTAATTGTGCTCCACAAGATAAGATTCAGTGACTCAAAATGGAGACATGGGACAATGTACTTTGCAAGCTGCAGACCAACAAACCTCTTCACACAAGCCAACAACCTCGGCTAGTATCAAATGGATTCTCCTAAACCGGGAAGCTAAAAATCATCTTTCTAAGTTCTTCAGGCTTCACTTGGGACAGTTGTGTGCATTGAACAACAGCAAGAGAGGCTAAAGGTTCAGAGGGCAAAGTACAAAGAAACACCCAACATACAGCCACTTGATGCAGTAGCTAAGACTAGAAGCCCTCAAAGTATTCCATCTTCTTTTTCAGCTGTGCACTCACAACTGGCTTCTACTCCAATCTCGTTCCATAGAATGAGTGAAATGCCTTTAAGAATTCTGAGAATTCTCAAATTAAGCTACATGAAATGGTTCTCAGCACCTGAAAAAGTGGTATCTAAATGTAATTTATTACAACTATAAAACTGATACAAATTATTGGGACTATATAAATTCACATACTTAAAATAGCTGTGCTGTATTTTTTAAAATACAAAACTAATTTGAAATATTAAACTTCCATATATCAACCTATCAATGAGATATTCAGCTGAGGCTTGGCTCTGAGCTGCAGCAGATAAATATTGGGCCTTTTTGGCAGAAGATCTCCGATCATGGAACACTCATTCATCTAGTTTCATTTTGTTCCCAAAATGAAATTGCTCTCCATTTTTATTAAAAAATTGCTTTTTCAGGGGACCTTTAAATGATATTATTTCATTTTTTCCCCTTTCAAGCTCTGACAATTGATTATTCTGCTTCCCTTCCATTGGTTTATTAGCTATAATAAAATTACCCTGTTAATTTTTTTTTTGCTTATTGATTTGCAAGTCCTTTTTAACAGAAAAATAAAATATGAAGGCCAAAAAGGAGGGAGAGAGACGAATACAAGGGATTATGCATAATCGTGTATTCGCTTCATTCTCAAACTGCTACCCACTGTTCTGTCAAACCTAATACCTTGAGATGTGCCTTCTCACTTCAGCAGAGGCAAGTTTTGTCACAACTGTAATGACAGAAAAGGAAAAGTGCTACTAGTGCACAGTTAGTGTGTATCCTGCTAAAGAATGTGATGTGAAGCTAGTGCCTTCAGGCATGTTACTAAGCCTTAACCCAATGTGGCTTTTCTTATTATACAAGTCTACACTGTTTGTTCTAAAACTATGTTTAAGCAAGTCAAACTTTTGTGCAATGTATGAATCAAGTTACTTTTCTTAACAAATCCAGTTAAAATACAGGTAGTTTTCAACATGCAGCAGATCATTTAGTGACCGTTAAAAGTTACAATGGCACTGAAAAATGTGACATACTACCATTTTTCATTGTTACCACCTTTGCAGCATCCCCATGATCATGCTATCAAAATTCAGATGCTTGGCCACTGGTTCATATTTAAGACTGTTACTGTTTCCCAAGGTCATGTGATCACTTTTTGTGACCTTCTGACAAGCAAAGTCAATGGGGAAACAAGATTCACTTACCAATCAGGTTACTAATTTAACAACTGCAGTGATTCACTTAACAATTGTGGCATGTAAGGTTGTAAAATGGGACAAAACTCACTTAAATGTCTCATTTAACAGAACATTTTGAGCTCAATTATGGTTGTAAGTTGAGAACTACCTGTATCGTTCACTACACTCTTTTAATATTTATTGTGGACCTACATTCAGGCCTCTGGTGGTTGGATTTTAACACCCCGGGGTCTTCTATCCAGATGCTGGCTCGCAGGTCCTGGGAGTTAAAGTCTGACACATCTGGAGAATAACTGAGTGGGACTTGTTATAGAACTTTTTAAAAAAAGCAGTGCATATCAACAGCCATAGGTCTCTCTCTCTCTCTCCCTCTTTGCCTGGGGTATCAAACTGGTGGCCCATGGGCAGGATGTGTCTCGTGCAGGCCAGACCCACTCTAGCCCCACGAATGGGAAAAACAGCATGAAAAGTGATGTGGTGGCATGCTCTATGCTGTAATTTCCACAGTATTGTCCAAGCCTGGCTTTTCAAGTAAAGCTTTGGGGTAAGCAGCCCACTGGGTTGATATTTGACATATATTTATTGCAGACTACTTGAAATTATTTATAGAAAAACAAGCTATAAACGCCAACTTGTTGTGCAGAGACCTACCAGTAGTGTCACTAGGAGGTTCTCTTCCACTGGGTTGTTCCAGTTCAGTCAATGTATTTCTATCACCTTCATCATCTTCATCTTCATGTTCTTGGCCTCCCGAAGCCTGAGGCAGACCTCCTTGGAAGGCTGGCGTCCTATGTGGGGCAGGTTCATCTGGAGCATAAGTAGGAGGGTAACTTTGGGAATAGGATCCTTGTGGGGGAGGTGGATGAGGGTTTGAGGGAGGGCGGGCAGCATAGGTAAAAGCAGTGGTTTTATGAACCACTGCAATATCTTCGAGGTAACTTTGAACGGCATCTGCTAGAGCCCCACTCCCATGCTGCGCATAGCTGTAGTTGCCAGGTGGTGGTGCCCGGAAAGCAGTGAGCAAAACAATTTCATTGCCTGTTTTACGCCGGTATTGTTCTGCTGCAGCCACCAAGGCTACCCAATTTTCTTTATGATTATCTACCATATCTGTCATCCTGCAGTCAAACAAAACAAGGAGATTAAACCATTGCACAGTGGAACTCATTCATAGTTAAAAAAACGAGCCCATGAAAATAATATTCACAGGAAGAAAACAAACACCTGTTTCTAAGCGACACAAATACCGCACTGCAACAGGCATTCCAAATTCACAAAGACAGCTTCTGCTGCCTATGGCTGTTTATGCCCCGTCAAAAAGCAAACTACTTTTAGTCAATTTGCCTAACCAATTAATCAGCTGTATGTCACAGCCCAGGTTTGCCTTGGGGCACTTTTATGAGAGACCAGGAATGTATAGAAGGCCAAGAAACCTGGACTGCCTCAGAGAGGGAATTCAGCTTAGCAACGTAATCAGGGCCTGAATTCAGAATACCTGGAGCAGGAGTTAAAAAGAAAAAGTTAAGAAGCCGCCATGAAGAGCCTGTATGAGAAGCAAGAGAAACCACAGCACACCTGGAAGAGCCAAAGAAGCGGGACCCCTCTGGCTTCTTTCATGGAGAGAAGCAGCCAGATCAAGAGCTTGCAAGAAGCAAGCAAGCAAGCAAACCACGATTGTGTGCAGGGCAGAAAGTGGGGTTCAAACAATCAAGACCGCTCTGGAAAAGAGCATGCACGGGCTGTGGGGTACAGAGGCGGCTATGCAGGGAGGAAAGCCCCCCTTTCCAACGGGGCAGAGCTAAAAAGGGCACAAAAGCAAGTGATACAGCCCTGAGATAAAAACAAGGGGGTGGACACATACCGACAGACAGACAGACAGCACTGTGAGGAAGAAGAGACGCCCCACCACCCACCCACCCGGCACATATCTTTCCTTTCTCTCCCCAGTCCCCCGAGCAGGGCTCCAAAAGGAAGCGGCGGGAGGGGAGGGTGACGCATATTACCTTCTCCTACCTCTTCTTTTTTCCCCCCTCGCTTAAGCAGCGGAGACCCGTTCCCTCCCAGCCCCCTTGGGGGTCAGCAGCCGGAATCCTGACCTCTCACCTTTAACCCTTCCCAGGACACTTATGCCGCCCCCTCCTCCTCCTTTTCTAAACAACAACCGCCCCCTCCCCCTTCCCACCCCCAAGGCTCCGCCCCCTCCTCCTCCTCCTTTTCTAAACAACAACCGCCACCTCCCCCTCCCCACCCCCAAGGCTCCGCCTCCTCCGACCGCCCTCATAAGACATGAGACCAGCGCCCACACACTGCCCTTTTCAAAGATGGAGGGCGGGGAACAAAGGAGGGCGTGTGGGGGAAGCAGGAAAGGGGTTGAGAACGCCGATTAGCCTTCTTATGCCCGATCCAAAGATGGCAGCGGAAGGGGGAGCTTTTCCTCGTACGCATGCGTGTGGTTGTTTATGAAACCCAGTTCACATTAAATATTAAATTCATTCATTTATTTATTTAATTTTATATTTTGAGGGCTATCAAAATCCGAATGGCGGCGAAGAGATACCGATAATTCTAGAGAGGGCATATTAGAAGAGAGAGAGAAAGCTATATGTGACTGTGAATTTAGTAGGAAAACCGCCGAACTTTGTATAAGCAAGAGACGAGAGCGGGACTCAAGATACCCACGTGAAAGTGGAAGAATCTCAAGTTTAAAAGAATCTGTTTAAATTTAAAACATGGCACTCTCGCGCAGAATTTCAGCACTCGATTTAAACCGTATCCGCCAGGAGTCACTAGCGGATTGCTACAGGAAAGGCGACTAAAAAACCCTGCACATTCCTAAGAAATTGTTGCCATGTTGCTGATATTCTAAAGAACAGCAGGTGACAGCAAAGAGACAGAAGCTTCTAGGCCAACGTTTATCAATCTTGGCTACTTGAGGATTTGTGGACTTCAACTCCCAGAATTCTACACAATTTAAAGTGGTCAAGATTGATAAAACGTGCTCTAAGCCAAGGGTCTCCAACCTTGGCAACTTTAAGACTTGTGGACTTCAACTCCCAGAATTCCTCAGCCAGCAAAGGAATTCTGGGAGTTGAAGTCCACGCGTCTTAAAGTTGCCAGGTCTGGAGACCCCTGCTCTACTTGCTGCCACCGCCTGGTCAGACTTGGGAGTCCTTCGTTGCTCATTCTGGAGACTGAGATCGCTCCGTGCTTGCCTTATTTTACCTAATCTTATTATTGTTATTATTCTGATTTATTTGCTTGGTTATGTGAGCAGTAGATAGTCACTGAGAACTGGGCGGCATTTATTAGGATTCCTTGTACAGCCAGCCAGATATTTAGACTGGATTCGGCATTTTTGTCCACCCATTCATCCTTCGCAAGAATCTAGGATAGGTATGTCTTGTTTGATGGCGCTTAGCAGAAAAAATATATACTGAATCACCATCAGCATCAAACACTTCTGCTTCTAGAATACGATGCTATCGAGCAGAGTTTTACAACTTCATCTTCCAAGTATAGTATGTGAATTTCACCTCCCAGAACACCCTAGCCAACATGGCCACTTTCTTACGAATTCTGGGAGTTGAAGTTTCAGAAAGCACCCCACTCGGAAACTCTGCTCTTAAAAAGTTTGCAAGTGATTTGTCATTTGATAGAAAGTGAGAAGGATTCACTTTCTCTCTTCTACAAGATTAATTTCATATATGATTATTTCATTCAATAAAATCCCCTTGCTTGGAGTGCGTCCTTTGGTAATAATTGCAAGATAAGCTTCAAATAATTAACGGGCATAATTCTCTTGGTAATAATTTAGTGGCATTACTCTCCCCCCAATATCCACTCTTGGTATTGTTTAAAAGGCTCCCAACCACTTATCCTGGTCGGACCCTAATTTAGCTTCTGAGGCCAAAATCACCCTGATGTTTTCATGTGCAGCCTCCCTAGTTAAATCATAAAATATGTTTTCTATTTCATGCCTTATTAAAGTTCTTCGAATGTGTAAACATTCCTTAACCGGTGCATAATTATTTAATATTACTTGCACACCAGCGACAAAGTCATGTTTAAAGATCCAGTCATTTTGACCTTTCCAAAGATGGCGCCAAAAGCTCCACTTGCGTTTTCAAACAAGACATCCCCGTTCCAAGCTTGAGGTTTTTTTTCCGCGCCAGAAACCATGATGACGTCTTCAAGAAACTTTAAAAATAGAAAGCCACTCTATGAAAAGGGCGGGGTGGTTAATTGGAGCAGGAAATGACGTATTTGTTTTTCAGGAAGTAGCTGTCAGGAAGAATGGAGTTAGGGGGCTGCAGGGTAAGAGGGGCCTTTAATCCTCCAGGGTGGTGCTCATTAGGCTCCCTTAAAGCAAAAATGGGCTGTCACAGGAAAGAGGATTGAGGGTTTTTTCCCCAGCATGAGCCGAAAATGATTCCCCGGGAGGCGAGGGCCGGCTGTGTTACTCCGTATGGAAGCTCTGGTTTGTTAGAAATGGGGAGATGTGCTTTCTTCCGCCTTGGAAGTTACAAGGAAGATGTGATATTCCTCCTAGATGTATTGAGACTCCCCCCTGGTAGTATGTAGAGGTTGTCTATCACTGTTACGGTTATGTAAAATGCCCCTTCCCCTTTGGTTTTGGAGTTTTGAGCCTTTGACAATAAACCATTAAAGAAGTTTGTATTTTGTTGCCTGAGCTTCACATTGGGGAAAAAGCTGGAGGAATGGAATTCTGGTCCTTTTCCTGCCCCTTCCATTTCTTTTCTTCTGACTTTTTGCAGATTGCGTTTGAGAAAGATGGAGTCTATTTACACACCAGTGCAAAGCGGCATCCTGATCAGGATTCCCTCATACCTGGAGTTATCCGCATCATTGAGAAGGTGGGTTGAGACAGGTTGCCTATTGGGTTGTAAACTGAAGCAAGGAGGCTGTATGGTCATGGTGAGAAAATTGGTTATATCGGGGCATTGAAGTCTTATTTGCCATTAAATGTATGGGCCAAAGCAGGCTCAAGACTTTTCTCTTGCTTTTTGGATGCTGGAGGATGAATCTGAGGCCTTTGTAGCTTTGTAATATTGTCTAATTGTGACATTATGGTTAAAGGTAGTTAGGATTAATTTGAACACAACTGGTCAGAATAGCGGAAGCTTTGTATTTGAGTCCAAGGTTTTCTACAGTTCATACTACAAGTTATCCTCAATTAGTAACTACAATTGGGTTACTTAAGCTAACAAAACATCACAATGTTATGATCTTACTTCAGTTTTCCTTTGCTTTGCAGACCTGAAAAAGCTGTAAATGTGAGGTTTGATTGCAAAGTTACTTTTTTAACACTATCGTAATTGCAAATGGTAGCTAAATCATGCAGTTGTTAAATGAGGACTACCTGTATGCGATATTAATGCATATGCACAAGTAGTAGTTTATGTAGTACATAAAAGATTTAAATATTTCACAAGAAATTTTGAGTTTCCCACAATTTTATGATTTAAGAAGTGCACATCAAAAAGCATTAGGTAGTTTGTGATGATATTTTAGAAAACGAAGTGGGGGATGAACAGTATTTCAGTGTTTATGCATCAGCTGCTTTTCAAGGAGGAAACATGTGAAATTCAGCACTCATTTGATCACTTAAATTTCAAAATTTAAAAACCAAGTTTCGGGATGAGGAATTTTGTTGGAATATTTTATTGTAATGTTGCTTCCTTTTTATTCAGGGTTCAGATATTTTACTACAATGGACCCCTGTGGAAGAATCTTCAGATACTGCTCAGATTATGTACACTAAAAAGGTAAGCTTTCTGCTGATTTAATCTTCTACCTATATATATTAAATCCTTCAGTATATTTGCTCTCTATATTTTGGCAGAAACAAAAATACATTTCTTTATATTAGAGGTTTTTCTTGTTTAATCACTGTATAGGTTGCTTGTTCTTTACAGAGCAATATGTTATGGTATCCTTTCAGTTTATATAAAAGTTAAAAAACCTCAGTCTTTAGAAGAAAATAGTTACAGGAATAAAGAATAATGCTAGGATTTCAACTATACATGTTTTCAATGCTTCTGGAATTACTGTACAGGTAGTCCTTGAGTTATGATTGTAACGGAGTCTCCCAATGACAGTTGTAACTTGTAACAGTTGTAAAATGGGTCAGTAGCATGTAAGACATAATTTTACAGCCTTTTTCAGCAGTCATTAATCAAATCAATGGTTTGCTATGGATGGAATTTTGAACAGGACCTAAAGGAGCATTTAGAAGATACTATGAGGGACATATTTTAAAACACTGAAATGTCCTCTAATCTTCTTTTCTCTTTACTAGGATACCATTGGGTCCCAAGCCGAGGAAGAACACTTTGATCCAGGATATGAACCAGACTGGGCCGTAATCAGTACAGTGGGGACAAGATCTCGGGTCCAGGAGGAAACAGCTGGTAAATTGAAAGAGGAAGCACTAGTGTCCTCTTATGAATTTTGGTTGTGTGTATCTAGGTTTACTG